CCTTGAAATGTGAGAATAACAAGCACAACAAATTTGACGGCTAATAATCTGAGATTTGCCTGTGTAAACGGGGTGATTAAAAAACGAGCTTTGATTGAGGTATATCTATTGATATGTGAACATAGTTTTAGACATTCCAACCTACAATTATGTGCAAACAGTTTGCGAAAACATTACACCTTTCGAAATAGAAGAGCTATACGATGTACTTAGAAAGAAGACGAAAGCGACTGCTGCGGGACTGGACGGTGTAAGATATGACATGATAAAGAAACTCTCTAAATCCAACTTGGAGAGCGATATGGTTGGTTAAGCAATATGGTTGTAGAGGAATGGCGTAAAATAAAAATTGTTCCCATACTTAAAAAGGTCTTAACTCCAGCTGCATTAAAAACTATAGACCAATATCACTTTTATTGGTTTATGCAAAACTAATCAATTTAATGCTTAAAAACAGATTGGAAGATGTGGTAAACAACCTGAATTTCCTGCCTAAAAGAAGCTATGCGTATCGTAAAAGAAAATCAGGATCTATGTTCATTAATGAATTATGTCACCTAATAGCAAAGCAAAAATGCATGGGACGCAAGGTAATAATGATGTCGTTAGATATTTCAAAAGGTTATGATTGCGTAAACTTACACAAACTCAGTCAAATCTTTGAACACTATAGCATACCAAATGAAATGTCATCCGGGATTTTAAATTTCTTTCACAAAAGAACTCTAATGCTAGGTTCCGACTCTGTCACTGTAAATGGAGGTATTCCACAAGGATCATGCCTCAGCCCAATAGTATTTAATATATACACGACACCTCTTCACTCATTGCAGGATGAAAATACGGCAGTTTTCCAATATGCGGATGACTTCCTGATCGAATCTTTTGACTATGATTTTGACTATACAGTTCAAAACCTTTCAACAAAAGCATTGGCCTTCAATGAAAAATATGCGGAATTAAACCTGAAATTCAACTTACTAAAAACTCAAACAATATACTTTGCTAAAGGCTTCAACAAGAAGGTAGATATAAAAATTAATAATATAGACATCAAGCAAACAAAGGTCATAAAATTCCTTGGAAGGTACATTAATAACAGTTTATCTATTCACAATCACTACGATAATATCATAAAGGATAGTACCTCAAATTCAAATGCGGTGAGAATGATGACTGGTGTTAATGGTGGACTATCTCCGGGACCTGCAGTAAATCTATATAAATAATTGGTCAGATCTAAATTAGATTATGCTAGAACAACCACATGCCACTACGCTAAGTATTTTGACAACAGAATTGAAGTTTTTCAAAATCAACTATTACGACGATGCTTGGGATGTACTCCCTCAACCCCTTATCATGTCTTGTATGCATTGTCTGGAGAATTACCCTCAAAGATGAGAGCAATCTTTTTAACATCTAAAGAGCTCATAAACATAAAATTTTACAATTACCAACTATATCAAAAAATCGCAGATGAGCCTTTAGTAAGGTCTAGCTACAACTTCTGTTACAACAAATTTAAATATATCTTTGACAAGATAGACAAAAATACTAAATATATAACATCTCATAAATGCCATGTTGACTTATCTATATTGTCGCCCATCTCTGCGACGAAATCGAATGTAGCAAAAGAAACTATAAAAGCTCTTTGTCAAGAACGCTTAGACTGGTATAAAGACAGAAACTATGAAATATTTGCAACAGATGCATCGGTTAGGGACAATGTTTGTGGAATAGCGGCGTATATACCATCAAAGAATTTATCGTATATATACAAAATAAATGATAAAATTTCTTCTCTATCGGCAGAGTTGATCGCAATTAAATGTGCTGTACTTGTAGCAGCAAAAAGCAATTTAAAAAAGATCGTTATTTTCACGGACAGCAAATCAAGTTGTATTCTCTTGAAAAAACAATGCAAAGAAAATCACACGGTTGCTCAAATAAACAATATTATCTACGAATCAAACATCGAAGAATGTAGCTTTGTGTGGGTTCCTGGGCACTCAGACTTTACCATCAATGAAAGAGCGGATAGGGCTGCAGGGATTGCTGCAGTCAGTGGGATCACCATAAGTGTTTGTTACAATAGAAATGATGCGTTGCGTAAAATATACATCTGTCTGCGAGATGAATGGATTCAAGAATATAAACGTATCTCTCAAAGCAAGGGAGCCCTCTTTGCTGAAATCTTCCCTGAGCCTCCATCGAAGCCGTGGTATCACAAAACTGCATTATCTGTGGGAACCATAAAAATAACTAACAGACTTTTATCTGGACATCGATATGACAGAAAATACTTATTTCGTATAGGCGCAATTTTAACTAATATTTGCCCTCATTGTAATTGTGAAGAAAGTTTGGAACACACAGTTTTCTTTTGCAGTAGATTTAACGCGATTAGGCCAAGCTTCCCATTTCTTTCCACATTCCATACATTTAAAGATATTATTATTAACTAGAGATGTGTCTATTATGTCTAAACTGGTACGCTTTCTGAAAGAAGCGGATATTAAAGTTTAATTTCTCGTATATTCAAGTTGTATGTATGTACATACATGCACAATTTGTGAACCGATCTGGCAATATGGTCTCTGTACCACCCTGGCCATCATATTAAAACCCAAAAAAAAGGTAATAAAAGAGTATCGGGCTTATTGGAACTTTTATGTTTCTTATTGTGGCGAATATTGAGGCAACTCGAAACGAATGAAAAAATGAGAATGAGATGAATGAGAAAATTTCAGAATGTTCGACGAAAGAGTTAAGGCCGGTCCACATAGAACTTTCGCGTTGGCTTGGCGTTGGCGTTGACAGAACGCACGCTAAAAGTATGCTTGCTACAATCAAGGCTTAGCAGCGAATGCTTTGACCA